TTCGACCGGATCTTTGTGCGGCCGTCGCGTGCGTCCGACGTGGAGGCCATACACTTCGGCCTCACAGGTCTGCAACGACTCAAACCTCACGTATGCTTTCCCAGCGACCACTGGGGGCTAGCCGTCCGCTTCGCGCTCAACCAAAAGCATTAATGTCTAAAAGCTTTAACAGTCTGTTGAAAACTACATGTATTTGTAAACTTCTAGCGAACCAAATGTTGGTTTAATTTCATTTTTATTTAATACATTACTGTAAAGTTTAAAGGCATTTTGCATACTGTACTTATAGGTATCATATTATTTGCACGTTTTGTATTCAAATTATATGACCGTAAATGTTAAATTAGCAAATCGTAACTGTTTTATATTATAAAAATATTTAGCTAAAGTTTGTTATGGAAAATTGTTTTTATAATTAATCGTTGGTAAATGTATGAGATTTTCAAATGATTTAATTTACTTTAATATGCAAAATAAAATTTATTTTCTATGCTGACAACCAATTGACTTGCCGTACAAAGAGTGTGTGAAAAAGTGAGTTCATTTGAAAACTACTACTCCAACAGATTATTACCGTAAATGTCTATAATATTTGTAAATTTAAAAACAAATGTGCTTGATTCAAAGCACAGTGTTTGGGTCGGAATTAAAGTGTTTGTTTGCGTTCAATGAGTCGATTGTCGACATGTCTTCAGTCGATATCTCGAAGTCCAATAAATCAAAGTTTGGTCTCAGGTTTTCCACGCGAGATGTCTTCGGGATGACACCTAAACACACATTTTTGAGGCAATTTCCAAAACAATTCAATGGTAACGACATTTCATCTAAAAGCAAATCAACTGAAAAGACGTACAAACGTTATGCTGAAGACCCCACTTGAGGAGTATCTGCGCCACAGACTTCTGGTACTTTTGGGCCACTTTGACAAGCGTTTGATTAATGGACAGCACTTTCCAGCCCTCGACCCCTCCCAACGAGGAATACGCCTGAATGACAACACCCTTTCCTTCGCTATATTCGCACAATTCCTTCTGATATAACAACGGATGGAATTCCACCTAATATTCAGACATATGTCTCGTGAAAACATTTCAAACATTTCTATGAATAACCTTTCGGTCAGTTGCCACACCTGATTGACTGCCGGCACGACTTTGCAGTGATTTAGCAGTTCCTCCATATGTTTGGCCGTATAATTGGAAACACCGATCGATTTGATGAGACCCTCGGCGTGCAAGTCCTCCAAGTCTTCGTAACTGCCTTTCCTTAGCTCGGCGTTCTTGGGGTCCTTGTGGTCGAGACCAACGGTGCCCGGCCAGTGGATCAGAACCAGATCCACGTATGGAGTCCTCAACTTTGCGATCGATTCCAACACTTTTGTCCGCGCAGTCCCTCTGCCCTGATCTGATGGGTCTGTCACCACATCCAACACACCATTAGATCATTGCATGCGAACAACACATTCATGTATTACTCAGTTTAGTGATAATAAACACATCCTCTCTCTTGAGACCAAATTCGCGTAAGTTTTCGATCACTTCTCCGATATATTCCTCGTTCTGATAAACAGCGGCCGTATCTGACATTCAAAGAGTTTTTCAACAGACATTGTCTTTATTTAGGTGTTAACTATAGTACCGATAAGTCGATAGCCTGTCCTCAATGACTGCGCGACTATTGTTTTGCAGACCTCCTTGTCTTTGATGAGATAAGTGCCCACTGAAGACATCATACATAAGACATGACCACAGATTAGACACAAAACTTGTGATAACAGTAATAGTGAATCATATTGGGCAAATATGACGAGGGAATGGAGATCTGGGGCGGAGAGAACCTGGAGTTGAGTTTCCGGGTCTGGATGTGTGGCGGGTCTCTTGAGATCGTCACGTGTTCACACGTGGGACACGTGTTCCGGAAGTCGACGCCGTATACCTTTCCGGGCGGTACGAGTAAAATAGTGAATCACAATAGCGGCCGACTCGCGGACGTATGGCTCGACGAATGGAAAGACTTTTATTATGCTATAAATCCGGCCGCAAAGAAGGCAGATATTGGCGACACTGCGCCACGAAGACAGTTGAGACGAGATCTTCAGTGCAAAAGTATTTGATTTCTATACTATTAAAGTAATATTCTATTATATACTAGATACTAGATACTAGAATATTCTATATCTATTCTATACTATAGTATATTATTTGTAATATACTTAAGGCTTTCGTTGGTATTTGGAGAACATATACCCGGAAAGTCAGATGCCTTTACACTACCATTCTTTGGGCGAAATAAGGAATTTAAAGACAAACCGATGTTTGGATACATTGAGGCGAAAGAATGGAGAGAAAGTGGGAATGGGTTCATGTCATGGAACGGGAGGCAATCAACTCTTTATATTGACTAAACTAAATCAGATTGTTTCGGATGATAATTGTTTGGATGCGACAAAAGTGGGGAAACCGGTTAAACTAATCCGATGCCATGGAATGAGAGGCAATCAGATGTGGGAATATGACCACAAATTTAAGACTTTGACTCACGTTCCCTCCAAACTATGTTTAGACAAACCCAACCCTATGAGAGACCCTTTTACCCCGACTATCAGACATTGCAACGGAAGGAAATCTCAGAAATGGATTTTCAAAAGCAATTATAAGTGGCAGTTATACCCAAACTAAACCAATTCCAGTCATACATCAATGAATACATAGTCAGACACGAGATAATGATTATATTTTGTATTCAATTCATAGTTTTATTTCAAATAAACCATTTGAATCTATAATTGTTAATACTTTATTGATAATTTATCAATGATAAATATGATTTAAAATACAATATTACAATGTGAATAAATAGACCTACTTATATTTTCTACAATAGTTCTCATGTTAGGAATACAAACAATTTGAACATTAAATGTATGTTTGTTTAAAATGTTGACTCATTGGTTTAAATTTGATATGAATTTGAATAAATATTGAGGAAAATAAAAAATTATAAAAAAATAATTTCTATATTTGTGCCTTTATAATATCAAATAAGTACATGAACTCTAAGTGATATAAGATTCAGATTTATACGGAACATGGTGCATTGGTTAACTATGAGACACGTTCCCAATAAAGATTAATCTTGTATTACTCATAGAGTTCATGTCTTTATTCTACTGTACAAGCACATTTGTTTAAATTTAAAAAATGCTGCAATTTTATCACAATTGAATAGCAATGTTATTTTAAATTAAGTGTATATTTTATAAAATAATTTTGTAATATATTATCTACTTTTATATACTTTAAAATTAATCTGAATGGTCAGAATTAATATTTATATTGAATATAAAAAATAATTGTTTGAATAAGTAATATGTGGTCTAATCGTTGGAAACGATGGACAGTCTATTGATTTGATCCAAACGTTGTGATTGTCGCCTACAGTACTCATTGGTGGCGAAGTCTTTCTTATCGGTGATCATAGAGTTGTGTTCATTAAAAGAGGTGACATTTGATCCCCAATACTGTGCCTCAGATCTGATGAGTGCTGCCAACGATGGCTGGAAGTAATCAATTCGACTTTCGATGAATAGAGGGATGTCTCGATTGAGTACTTGTGTCTCAATGTTGTACTCCTGTTGAGTATTCTTGAGCTCTTCCTCAACATTCTTCAACTTCAGTATATTGTGTGAAGTCTTTTCCTTTTCGCTATATTTCTGTTTCTTATGATTATATTTATTTAAATCACATTTGATTTGTTCGTATCGTTTGATGCCATTCCTGATCTCATTGAACGCCATTTTCCATCTCTTCAGCGGTTCAATGGCTGTCTTATGGATAGTTGTGGCGAACTCTTCGCCGTTTTTGATCGACTCGATGGTAAACGTATGCCATTCCTCCACAACTGACCGCAAGTGTTGGTCCTCTTGACATAACACAGAATTAGACAAATCTGTAGTCATTTTGCTCTCAAACCGATTCACAGCTAATATACAGTCATTCAATCGTTTGGTCTCTTTGTATAACTTCTTTGTCGTCACTTCAGCCCTGATTTCAAAGTAATTCAACGAAAATATAGTTTAGTATTAAATCGCTTTCAATATTCATGTCATTACTGATTGAGTGCCGAAACATTGCTCTCAATGTTCTCGTTGTTCATCACTTGGGAACCGACCATCGATTGGCTTTTAGACAACTTCTTCAACGGATTCCTGACACCAACACATCAGTCAATGAAATGTCATTCAATTGAAGCAAATCTAATCAAATCTAATGAATTCAATACAAACCAACTCATCGTTGACTGCAATGAATGAGTAAATCGCGAAACAAATGAATAAACGCTTAGAAGTGAGACTTCAATGCAATGAACACTAAATGACAGTTAAATGACACCAATGTTATGGCCTATCATTCACTGCAATCACTGCCTATTTTACAGTCACATGACTGCCATCTGTTAGTATACCAGTTGTCGTATTAATTAGTTATCAATTGTTTAATCAAAAAATTTATTTGAAACACATTTACAGTTATATTGATTACTGTTAGGAAAGTGCGGCACAAATACATTGAATCCATTGAATGGAGGTATTGATGAACAACGGCCTCAAAATCCCTGGCATTGGATGTAAGCATTGATTGCATTAATGATTCACTATTACTGTTATCACAAGTTTTGTGTCTAATCTGTGGTCATGTCTTATGTATGATGTCTTCAGTGGGCACTTATCTCATCAAAGACAAGGAGGTCTGCAAAACAATAGTCGCGCAGTCATTGAGGACAGGCTATCGACTTATCGGTACTATAGTTGACATTTAAATGAAGACAATGTCTGTAGAAATACTCTTTGAATGTCAGATACGGCCGCTGTTTATCAGAACGAGGAATATATCGGAGAAGTGATCGAAAACTTACACGAATTTGGTCTCAAGAGAGAGGATGTGTTTATAACCACTAAACTGAGTAATACATGAATGACTTGTTTGACATGACATGACATGAATGAGCTAATGATGTGTGGATGTGGTGACAGGTCCATCAGATCAGGGCAGAGGCACTGCGCGAACAAAAGTGTTGGAATCGATCGCAAAGTTGAAGACTCCTTATGTGGACCTGGTTTTGATCCATTGGCCTGGAACTCGTGGTCTCGACCACACGGACCCTAAGAATGCAGAGCTAAGGAAAGGTAGTTATGAGGACTTAGAGGACTTGCATTCGGAGGGTTTCATCAAATCGATTGGTGTTTCCAATTATACGATCAAAATGTCAGATACGGCCGCTGTTTATCAGAACGAGGAATATATCGGAGAAGTGATCGAAAACTTACGCGAATTTGGTCTCAAGAGAGAGGATGTGTTTATTACCACTAAACTGAGTAATACATGAATGACTTGTTTGGATGCAATGACTAATGATGTGTGGATGTGGTGACAGACCCATCAGATCAGGGCAGAGGGACTGCGCGAACAAAAGTGTTGGAATCGATCGCAAAGTTGAAGACGGATTATGTGGACCTGGTTTTGATCCATTGGCCGGGAACTCGTGGTCTCGACCACACGGACCCTAAGAATGCAGAGCTAAGGAAAGGTAGTTATGAGGACTTAGAGGACTTGCATTCGGAGGGTTTCATCAAATCGATTGGTGTTTCCAATTATACGATCAAACATATGGAAGAACTGCTAAATCACTGCAAAGTCTTGCCGGCAGTGAATCAGGTCTTGAGAACTAACTGAAAGCTTATTAATGGTACAAATGTCTGAATATTAGGTGGAATTCCATCCGTTGTTATATCAGAAGGAATTACTTGAATATAGCGGCGGGAAGGGTGTTGTCATTCAGGCGTATTCCTCGTTGGGAGCGGTCGAGGGCTGGAAAGTGCTATCCATTAATGAAACGCTTGTCAAAGTGGCCCAAAAGTATCAGAAGACTGTGCCGCAGATACTCCTCAAGTGGGGTCTTCAGCATAACGTTTGTATGTCTTTCAGTTGATTTGCTTTTAGATTAAATTTTATTTACGCCTCAATTGTTTGGAAATTGTCTAAAATGTGTGGTTAGGTGTCATTCCGAAGACATCGCGCGTGGAAAACCTGAAACCAAACTTTGATTTATTGGACTTTTCGATATCGACTGAAGACATGTCGACAATCGACTCATTGAACGCAAACAAACGCTTTTGTTGGGACCCAAACACTGTGCTTTGAATTGCATTTCAAATACATTTTATTAAATTTACAAACATTTTAGAAATACAGTATACGTTAATATAATAATCTTTTGGGTAATAGTTTTCAAATAAACTCGGTTTTCACAAACTCTTTATAAATGTATTTTTGAATAAATAAATGGGAATTAAAAATAATGTTTAGTAGAAATCATTTGAAATAAATTGCACTTAAATTAATGAATGAATAAATTAATGAATGAATGGATCGGTGAAGGAATGGTTAGAAGAGAGTGACAATCATTTCGGACGACTTCTTCTCGGGATGGTATCTCTTGATGTGCTTCAGTATCGCGACTCTCCATCCGAAGGCGTGTCCGCACACCCGACACGAGTAGTTGTAACCGGAGTTGTAGTGAACTGTCATCTCATGGTCTCTGACGTACTGTACCTTTGAATAGGTTTTGTCACATTCGCGGCATTTGTATGACTTGTAAGTCTTGGTCTCTTTGACAGCTTTGTGGTCGTCATCGGAGGCCACGTCTCCGCATCCGATCTCAGTCTTCATTTGGCGATCAATCAGTGGTGTCTTCGGTGTCTCCTTTGCCTTGAGTTTGGATTCACTGAAATCGTAGTCGACTTCGATGTGTCTTTTGATGTGTGAAATGAAGTTTAAGATCTTGATCTTCGGTCCCAAAAGAAATCCCAATTCATTGAAATTGTTTTCATTCATCAGAAGGAAAGTGAGGCCATCGATGCGCTGGTCTGAAGACATCATTCATTAATGCAATTATCATTAAAATGGTATCCAATGAAAACCTCTCAAAATTGTGGATTCTTCACAAGAAATGACATTCATTTCAAGCAACTGATGGCAGAGTTGTAGCGAATCCCAAGATGTGTCATATTTGATGCGATTATCATCTGTTTGAGACATTTTGATACCTTATATGATCAGAAGATATCAATTTGAATGGATCTCATGAAAGTGTGGCACAAATGAGGCAATCCTTACAGTCAGCATAAGATTACTGTTACAGCTCTCACTGTATTAAAACTGTAAGCACTGTAAGCACTGTAAGCACTGTAAGAGAGTTACGGTTTTGTATACTTACTGTTATACAGAATATACAAGTAATACAAGAATAAGAAAGTATAATATCATTTACAACTCATGTGTGAAACGAGTGCACAGTTGCAGTGATTGTCACCTAAGAGGGGACAGACATCTGGAGTCCGAAAGCGAGTCTCTCTACGAAAGTGACGCCAAAAGCGCTTGAATTCAATATAAAGTGTTTTGATTTGCTTTTGAATCAGTATTTCATTTGCGGACCACTTCTTCCGCATCGATCGCCATATGAACTCATAGTTGGTCTCAATGTCTCAATACTCGATGAGCG